CGGGGGGGGGGGGTGTGGATAAGGTTTTGGGCAGTCAGGGTACAGGTAGGGTCCTAGGGGGCCGGGTCCTAGGGGGCCAGTTAGGATGGGGGTGGGGGAGGGTCTCAGGAGGGGACAGTCAGGGGACAAGAGGCAGGGAGGCTTAGGTAGTGGGTGGAGTCCTGGGGGGGCAGTTAGGGGCAGGGGTCCCAGGAGGGGGCAGTCAGGGGACAAGGAGCGGGGGGAGGGTTGGGGCTCCTGAGGGGGGCGGGAAGTGGGACGGAGTGGAAGGGGCAGGGGCGGGGCTAGGGCGGGTCTCCTCCTGGCCTCTTTTTTGCTTGCTGAAATATGGTAACCCTAACTCAGCATGTCCCAACTGGCAGTTAAGAAGCACCATCTCACATGTAAAAATCTTGTGAAGAGTGATACCAGATGGTGCACAATTCTGAAGTCAAACCAAGTGCACCCTGTCTACAATAGAAGCCCAAAAGCTCTATGTGTAATAGTGCCTAATTTACATGGCATATCGTACATTGTATCTTTAACAAAAAAAGTTTCTAGTGTTTTAAGAAGGGGATTGGGAATCAAGACTCCAGACATCCATTCCTGGTTTTGTTATTGACCCAATGTGTGATGCTATCGTCTGTCCTCCCTGCCCACTATCTGAAATATGTACCCTATTCAGGTATTTATCACATACTCATCACCATGGCATATAGGTGCAGACAAATCAACATTCAGTGAGAAGCCTATTTTCCTCCTCCTTATAAATTCCCTTCCCTCCTAAAACCCTCCGAGTGCTGAGAAGACAAGTGTTTAGGAATTTGGTTCTTTAAAATCCTCAGATAATGTTTTTTAGAGCTCCTTTTAAGAAAACAAAGCGGCTCACATTGCCTCAAGAATCCTTTCTAACCCCTTGCTTGCATTACTTCTGCTCAAGCAATGTCTGTGGCAAAATAAGGGGCTTCAATCTCCAGAATTGTCAATCTGGCTCTACTGACCATTGCTAAATTCACTAACAACTTGTTACACTGTATATCTATTGCTTAGTTATACGTCATGACATGAAATGATAAAACAACATATTTCAGCTTCAGCATGAATATGCAAGACTTACCAATTCTTCCTTTCTTGTGAATGTGGCCTGGCATGATACCAATTTTGCATTCTCCAGGCTAAAAGAGTAGAAATAACAAATACTTAAAAAAAAAAAAAATCATGATGCAAATAATTTTGAAAATTCACTAAAGATGGATTAGTCTCCAAAACATTAAAAGAAATGTTTTTCAAACACTTACATTGATGACTCCAGGGCAATTTGGGCCCACTAGTCGAGTCTTATCCTGACGGATCAGTTTATGTTTAACCCGAACCATATCCTGCTGTGGAATACCTTCCGTAATGCACACAACTAAGGGGATTTCTGCATCAACAGCTTCGTTAATTGCAGCAGCAGCAAACGGAGGAGGCACATATATAACGGAGGCAGTGGCACCTGTTTGTTCTTTAGCCTAAACATGCATTAACAAAAAGCATATGAAACATTCAGTAAACCTTAAGAGTACATTGGGCAACTAACACTTTAAATGTATCTATTTAAATATTTATGACAAAAAATAAATCAGAAGTTTCAAAGTCTATGGTCACAGCAGTTCTGTGCATAGCAATTTCATTCAGATTAACAGGAGATATAAATGGAATAGCTGCAGAACTGATTCCTAAAATAGGTTCATCTTCCAGGGAGTTTACACCACAATCAGCAAAGTGTACTCTTCAGTCCATTTATTCATTCACTTTTTATGATCTATTTATCAAGAGCTAAAGTCATGAGGGATATCGAACACTCTCCATATAAAATAAATGTAAGTTGACACCAAATGACTTCTAGGCCCTTATTTTATTTATATGCACAAATGAAAAAGTGACTTTTAAAATGGAAACTGAACTCCAACTCGATTCATTGGTTGTGCCCACTATTATACAGACACTGACCACAGACCATCTTGGCTTTATTTCTCACATACTTTAAAACCAGAACTGTAACCATGACTCCACTCTCAGATTCTGTCCCTCTTCAACTCTGGAAGCTAGAAAGTTCTAGCATGTTCAACTTTGACAACCTTCTCACCCACATCTTTACTGTCTAGTGGTCCAGTCAATAACTATACGATTACCTCTTTCACGGTGTTAAAGACTGGCAGGCCCAGATGAGTTTTGCCCCCCTTCCCTGGGGAAATTCCACCTACTAGTTTGGTGCCATATTCCAATGCCTGTTGGCTATGAAAGGTGCCCTATAAGAGATACACAGGAAACTTCAGAAGATGCAAGCCAGAAAGAACACTTTTATACCCCTTCAAATAAAACATTTAAAAACTGAAGGCACATTATGGAACTGTAGTTAAGATCAAATATATGCCAACAAGAGAAAGTAAATTAGAAGCATGTCAAACTCAGAGTAAAATATAAACTACAAGTTTTGTGAATGCCATCTAAAAGGCTCATTTCAATGTTTGTGAAATTGCAGCATGTTTGTCAAACATTCTAAAGAAGAAGTGTAATATTCTAAATCAAAATATTGTTTAAAAAAGGAAACCCAAATTATTCACTATTAAAAGTGTTGGTACTCTTAACATGTTCCTGTGTTTATATAATCTATGTAGAATCAAAGCAACTTTAAGGTTGTAAACTGAGGTGAAAAGAAAAGTTTTGGAATGTGATTTAGAAGAGAGGGAGTGATCTCGATCTTGAAGGGAAATAAAGAGATGCAAGGTTTCTAGATAAATGAGGAAGTACAAGTGAATAAATGAGGACAGAGGAGGACGTCCATGGAAAGGAGGGTGACGTAGGGGAAGAGTGGAGTAAATTCTTGGAGAGATCTGAAAAAGTCAAGAGGGAAACTGTTGTATGTGGAAAAGCTGTGGAGAATGAGGGAGATATGATCTCACTTTCTGGAGAAAGGTAGTCGTCTGCCCACAGCATTCTGTACCCATTGGAATTTAGTATTGTTAAAATAAAGGGATTCATTATCAAGGAGTTACACAATGAACTGTAACACACACAATCTAAATAAAAAGGGGGATCAATTTAATTAACACAAAAAGGGTTTGAGATTAAGGGCCCAACTCAGGGCATAAATTTCTATCGAAAATGTATGAAGACAAAAAGGCTGATGCACAAGCACGGTGCATACAAACCTTTCCGCTGAGAATTCAAACAAAATGCATTACGTTATGAACAGAAAAAATACCCATTTCTGGGTATTCACATGGAAATGAAGGCTATAATTAGAGGTCATTTGCACTATAGATACACAATATATAGTTACTGCTGAGGAAATTCTGTGCCAAAAAAATGAAATTCTGCAAATTTTGTTTGTCAATAAATAAATGTGGAGGCTACAGCATAGCAGTGGGGAGCCCAGGCCACTGGCTGTATGGAGGTGGGAGATCACCCTGCAGCCCCTCCCTACCTCCAACATACACTTTCCTGAACATGGAGTTGGCCACGAGGCTGCACCCGACCCTGACCCAGCACAAGGGCTAGGCCTCCCCAGAAACACCCCAGGGCCCTGCCCCTGGCACATCAGGTGTGGGCAGGCAGGTTTAGCCCAGCAGGATCCAAGTATAGAGGGGCTTAGGGTGGGGGGACCCAAGTGTGGGATAAGAGGGTTCTCTGTGGGGCAATCTGAATGCACAGGGGCTCATTGAGGGGGATCTGAATGCACAGGGGCTCATTGAGGGGGAAAGGGGGTGTTTCCAGATGCAGGGGGGTCCAGGGGAAGGTGGTTGAGGCTCAGCAAGAGCCTTAAAAGGGGGGGGAGCCCCAGCTGCTGCCGCCCAGGGGACACCACATGCTGGGCTCCTGCCCCTCCCCATGATTCCCCCATCCCCCCTCCCTTTCTCTCTTCACTATCCCCTGCCCCATCCCCCTTCCCTAACTCTCACATCCCCCTCCTCCTGCCCCATCTGCCCCCCACTCCCCCTATTTCCCCCGTTGGCAGAAAACAGGATAGTTCCCAGCACACAGAAGAACATGACCGGCACTAGTACCCAGGAGGCAGCATCTAAGTGGCACCCTCCTTGAACTGGGCAGCTCTGCACTCGTAGAAATGGGGTGGCAGTGGCACATGACCCCATGTGCTCCTACATACCTTGCCTGCTTGGGAGGGCAATGCCCCCCACAAAATTACACGCATGAGCATCCCTGTTCTGTTCCCTCCCCACCACCATCACCACCATCCACACCCCACCATAGTTTCCCTTTGTTTCCCTGTCATTTTCTGAGGGGAAGCAAAGAAATCTGCGGGGGGGACACGAATTCTGCACGCGTGCAATGGCGCAGAATTCCCACAGGCGTAATATAATGGGACATGTGGACATAATGAATAGCTATTTTACAGTGCACATTAAAGTTTTAAATGACCTTCAGAATACAGCATGCCTTTTTTTCTTTTAGATCAGAGCAGTTAGGCTCCAAATCACAAGGTAATAGTTCAGTTAGTTCTCCCCTGCCAATACATTTTCAGACAGCATAGCAGAGGCCCACATTTTAATATTCCAAATCAGCTTTAAGAGATCACAAACATGATAATCAAGTGCAAAAAAACAATATTGGCAGCTGCTGCTAATTCATATCAATGCACTTCTGCTATCTAATGCAGTCTTTTCATCATTCAAATGTGTAACAATGAGAGAATGTGAAAGAAGGATTAAATGAATTAAGATGACAAAAAGAATTAAACTGATTCTCTGTGGAAAATAAACTCTTAATTTAAAACAAAAGGCATTGTCTCAATGATAACATTTGAATGAACAAACACTAACCAGAGAAGCTAAAGAGCGCAGTTGCTGAATTTGAGCATGAACTGGATTGGAAACAGTGGGATTCCAGGTTGCTGTCGGAAATTGAAAATACAAAGAATAAAGTGACTACACAAGGCAACCTCTTATTCAGAGGACACAAAGCTTCAATTAACACATATCATGGAGGATTGGTTCTAAACAAAATAAGGATGAAAGTCAGTGGTGTCAAACAGTAACAGAATTATATACAGGATATGGTTTTGCAGCGTAGCAACACACAATGCTTGAAGCAAACTGCTTCATCAATGAAGAACATTTCCCTTTATCCAGAAGATAATTCAGCAGAAAAAATTCAAAGCGGAAAACAGGAAAGCTGTTTCTACAAAGAATAAATATTTTCCTCACAGAACTTTTTGAAGGAATACCTTATATTTGATGTGGTGACAAGGCTAAATAAAGCAAACAGTGATATAATAAGATAACCCAGCTTTTAAAACGTCTGCATTTGCTAGAAGGACATATATATGCACAACAAATGAAATCAAAAATATGGAACACCTGTTAAATCTCTTGACTACTCATTTTTTTCCATTTAAAGAAGGTTATACTAAGCATTTCATCTATACCAAAGATACGCACCTGTTTGCCAGTAAAACCCTGGCAGATAACCTTTGTATTTTTATTGATATAAAGATTTTTCCGCGTGGCTGAATAGGAACAGTGACGTACTCCATTCTGCTGCACTAAAAATAATAAAATAAAAAGGTTAATAATCGCTTGTGTTTCTAGAATCTTACTTTACCCTTCTATATGGCCTCACAAATGTTACTGAACTAAGCCTTTCAATACCCCATGAATCAGACACGACTCCATTCTACAGTTACATAAGGGAAGGACAGAGTCTGAGACTCAGATTTTCAGAAAGCTTTAATTTGGGTGCCCTACCTTAGATACCTCAGGCCTGATTCCCAGGGGTGCTGAGCACCTGTAGCTCCCATTGACTTTGTCTGGAGTGTGGGTAGGGTTGCCAACTCTCCCAGAATCGATCCCCCAGTGGCTACTGAAACCAGTCCGGGAGATTTTAATAGGCTGCTAAAAGTCCGGTCGGTGGTGCAGCAGGTCTAAGGTAAGCATACCTGCGCTGGCTCTACGCAGCTCCTGGAAGTGACTGGCATGTCCCTCTGGCTCCTGGGTGCAGAGGGTTTCTGCGTGCTGCCCCCCCCCATGCTGAGTGTCGACTCTGTAGTGTCCATTGGCCAGGAATCACAGTCAATGGGAGCTGTGGGGGTGGTGCCTGCATGCAGGGGCAGCACGCAGAGCCACCTGGCCACCCCTGAACCTTGGAGCTGGATATGCCAGTCGCTTCAGGGGGCCGCCCGAGGTAAGCACCATCTAGCCGGAGCCTGCACCCCTCATCCCCTCCCATACCCCAACCCCCTCCAGCCCTGAGCCCCCTCCTGCACCTAGACTCCCTCCCAGAGCCTGCACCCCCTCCTGCACCCCAACCCCCTGTCGCAGGTTCAGCCTGGAGCCCTCTCCCACACTCTGAACCCCTCGGCCCTACCCTCCAGCCCAGAGCCCACACCCCCTCCTGCACCCCAACCCCTTGCCCCAGTCTGGTGAAAGTGAGTGAGGGTGGGGGAGAGTGAGCGATGGAGGGAGGGGGGTTGGAGAAGGGGTGGGGCAGGGATAAGGCCTCAGGGAAGGGAAGGGGGCAGGGCAGGGTGTTTGGGTTTGTGCAGTTAGACAGTTGGCAACCCTAAGTGTGGGTGCTCAGCATATGAAGCATCAGGCCCTAACTAAGTAACTGTTTAAAAAACAAATTAAAAAAATACATCCAACAATAGAGGACACCTGTAAACACATGGCCTAAGACGTAACCACGGCCACAGAGTGAGGCACTGTCAGAACTGGGAATGGAGCCAGCTCCTCGGTCCCAATAGCCCCCCCCCCCACACACACACACACCTTAGCCAATCTGAAACATCTAGCATGTTGAGTGATCCTCAGAAGGATCACTCCAGGGTGAAGATTCAGTGAGAGAAGCTTTTTCCAGTAATTTCCTAGCTGCTAGGGATTAGAAACCACAAACTTAAAATTATGCTTGGACTCATGGGGAAAAGGAAGGCCCTCCATCAACACCACCAGCACCACTTTCCATCTAATTCAGCAAGAGGATGCTTGCATGTGCCTCTTCTCACTGCTTCTAACACCTTAAAGATATGCAGCTAAAGAAAACCAATGAGTACAGAAAAGGGAACTAATTGCCTTCCTATTGAACAGTTAAGGCATTCTATTGTTGCATCATCGGCTCGATGGCAAAGCACAGTTTAATTTACTTGTGTGAAATGTAAGATAAGAGATGGCTAGGGAAAAGAGGGACAGATTCTTCACAAAACCTTTTGCAAAAAGGTCAGCTGTAGCAGAGAATTTCAACCCTATAATGGGCCTTGGATAGTTTAGAAATCCTCCCTAACTGGGATGTATTTTATGACACTTATTCTAAGCAGGAAATTGTACATTCCTAGAACACAGCACAGGCAATATTAGTATACGTTACAAGAGATGTGGTGCTGTTCAGGTACCTAAAGTCTTAAGAGGAAAAAACGTTAAGAGATGAACTTTAAGAAAAAGGGAGGAAGTGGAAAGTAAGGGGAAGCTAAAATAAAGATTTCCTATCTGGACTGTCTTCGGTTTGACCAGGCACATGCTCAAGTGTGCCTGTAGGGGATCCACATCATTTAAAAAACAAGACCACAGTATGTAGAGTTCACTGGCTGGAAAAAACAAAAGAAAAATAACTCTCCAAGTATTTTACAAACAACATATTATATGGAGATATACCTATCTCATAGAAATGGAAGGGACCTTGAGAGGTCGTTGACTCCAGTCCCCTGCCTTCACAGCAGGATCAAGTACTGTCCCTGACAGATTTTTGCCCCAGATCCTTAAATGGCCCCCTTGAGGATTGAACTCATAACCCTGAGTTTAGGAGGCCAATGCTCAAACCACTGAACTATCCCTCCCAACTCTGCTTCAACACAAGCTCTTATGACCAGATACACGTACTTGTCTACTTACCACATGTTACTGACATCTTAAAATAAAGGCACCAGATAGAAATTGCAATTATGGAAGGCTTATTAGTCGAGGTTTCATTTACACAATATTTAAAACCTAAGCAGTTACAACTTTTTTTCCCCGCAGAGAGGCTAAAGGGGCAGTAATCCTATTGAGACCTCTCTTTGCAAAGAGCTTTTTAAAGATAAAGCCTGTGTGTGTGTGTACCGCCATTCAACCTAAATGAGAAGCAAGGCTAAACCAACATCAAAAGAAGTTTATACACTATTAAGTCAAGTCTGATTTCTCCAGCAAGCGCTGTAGTCTTTTCCGTACTTTTCAGTCATGCCAAATAATGTGAAGAATTATAATAGCATATGCCTATGTCTGATTCCAACCTATTAGGTAATCAGTCTGGTTTTCTTGAAGAACCATTGGGAAAAGAATGTTACACGAGACTCTACATAGCACCAACATTTCGAACAGTCAATAAAATTAGAGTTTAAAGGGAAAATGGATATGGAGGCTCACAGTATATAACAGAACTGTTAGATATGCATGTCATCAGTCTGTTAAGAAGTCAGAAAAGCCTTTGCAACAGTTCAATCTAATCACTTGCTTTTGTCTGCTTGATCAATATTGCTGGAAGCAATACACAAATAAGTATTATTCGAAATAAACAATGTTACATAAAATTTTGTAAGTTTTAAGAGAAACCATTAAGCCAATAGATCAAGTAAGTCCATGTCTGAAGCTCTAATAAACATATTGAATGTGATTTTAGGGTAATCTTTAGCAGACCGAAGTTTCAGTCAGGGAAAAATGTGTTATTTTAAACTAGTGCAGCTAAGTGTGGACACACTTACCTCAATTTAAACCTGGTTACATCAATTACAAGGGCAAACTAAACTGCTGTGAGGTTTAAGTGGAGGTAAGCATCCACAAAAATGGACAATGGTTTAAAAAAAAAAAAAAAACACACACACACACACACACACACACAAAACATAAACGTGGCTTGTTGAACCAGTGTAACTCTGTGGTTAGACCAGGTCTATGTATGTTGGAACCTGTGTGTGCCCGGACATTGACAGCATGCCCAGAGCCAAAAAAAGACTCTTGAAATTTGACTTCCCATATATTTGTATATAAAGAATCACTCCTACATACTGGCTAGTTAAAGTACATTTATAAAAACAGATCCTTTTAAAAGGCTTACTAGGCTGACCCTTCTAGGGTGAACAGGCATAGCTGAATCATCCACGGTTAAGGTTCCAGGTCAATTAACATTTCAATATTGAGAAGGACTCTAAGCTAGACAGTAGAAAGTTCTCAGTGTACATATTTATAATACAGCACAAAAGTCTATTTTAAGTGTCCTCAGTGATTAAATCTGTACATTATTAAAAAAAACTGTGATGGACTAAATTTATATTATAACATCATACCACCAGTTCTATTGTTAAGGTTCAACTGACTATTCCATATCTATTTTCGGGTGCTTATTAAAAAAATGTTGGAGGCGGAAAGATGTGTCAGTTTCAGTCCTATGGAGAATTAAATAATAATTTAAAAAAAAAAAAAAAAGAGCGCACACACTTGCTGAGCCTTTCACAAGCCGGCCAAGTGTGAAAAGAGATGCATCTTCCAATGTTTAAAATATTAATTTTTATGCACTCTGATAACTCAAAACCAGCTTAAACTCCAAGCTTTCTATGGATTTGTCCTGAAGCACGTTACATGGTTTTTACATGGCAGAAGAAATTTGGTTCAGGAAAAAATGTAGTTGGTTGGGGAAAAAAAAAAAAAAAAAAAAAGAAAAGGATATAGGCATGAGCAGATTGTTATCCTCAGCTGTATACTGTCTCATAACAATTTTTTTGGTGGCCTCAGCATGCGGTCACCAACTCTTGCTAGTGTGCATTCTGACACTTTTTCCTAAAATACTTAATTAACTTTAGGAAAATAAATATGCATGTATACACACCCAAATCTTTAATTTATTCATGTAGGGGTTTTTTTTTGGGGGGGGGGGGCAGATTCAATAATAAAAACAATGCACAGTTGTCTCTATTCTTTACTGGAACTAAACAGAATATCACTTTTCACAGCCTCCCAGCGAGCTAGGAAATCTGCTGTGGAAGTATCACTTTTCACAGCAGACTTGATAGCTGGCCAGGAGGCTGTGAAAAATGAATTTTTTATGTTTGTTAATATATCACTTTTCACAGCCTCCAACCTAGCTAGCAAGTCTGCTGTGAAGTCTACACTAGTAAGTTTGACATAAAAAGTGATATTAACAAAACATACAAATATCACCTTTCACAGCAGGCTTACTCAGTCTGGGCAAGCCCCAACACAGCAAGCACTGGGGGAAGGGGGAGCCTGGGGTCCCAGATTTGAAGCCCGAAGCCCCACCACCCCCACGAAGGTGGGTCGAGAACTCACTGGCCATCTGGAGTCCAAGGTTCCCTCAGCATGCCTACATGTCTCCAGATGCAGTGCAGAGCTGGCGGCATTAGCAAACACCAAGGCAGCTGTATACAGTAGCAACAGGGAGGGGAGTAGCTGCTGCTTTGCCCTCCACCACTCAGGAGGCTGTCCTGGCCGCAAGAAAAGCTACTGGTGATTGCATGCGGCACGTGGCCACATTTGAGAAACACTGGTCTAGTGTGTGCACTGT